GCGAGGGCCGAAGCGCCACCCGGCGCTTCGGCATCGGGCCCGCCTCGCGGGCTGGCTTCGCGAGGCTGTGCTCGCACGGCCCGCCCCCCAAGGCCTCCTCCCTCCTCCTCCCTCCTCCCCTGCCTCGTTGCCTGCTCGCGAACGTCTTCTGATTCGGCATTTCGACACTGGGCGGAAGGAGGGGGGAGGGGGGGGGGTCTGGCTCTGGGCCTCTGCTGAGGGCGACTGTTTGCACCTCTGCGTCCTAGGGGGAGACTCCACCTGCTCGAAACTGGCGCGAGTGGTAAGACGAAGATCCAAGACGAGGGTAAAATCGGGTGAGGCAGATTCGAGAATCTCTGAGATCTGGCGGCCCTGGAGGATGTCTCGGGAGCCGCGGCCTTCCTAGAGCGTTCCAGAACGCTCTGAGAGCGTTCCGGAACGCTCTGGAACGGATTATCCTCGCCCCAGCTCCGCCCGAAGGATGCCGACATGCGCGCGCGGCCGACGGGCGCGAGTGGCCCGCGTTATGAAAGGGATCGTGCCACCCCCCCCCCACGCAAGCGCGCAGAGGCGCTCGAATGAGTTCCTCCTGCGCGCGCGAAAGGCCCTGTTGGACCCCATGCCGGCAGAGCTCTTCGGCACGCGACCTGCACCCAAAGGAGCCGGACAGGGCAGGGCAGTCCAACACAACCGCCCCGGGACCTGCACAACAAGCGCCAGCCCTTCTCAGAGGAGGGAAAGGCACGGATACCGCTGCCCTGGCCTCGTTTTCGCCCGTCTGGGCCTCCTGGGAGGCCCTCGTCGCCGCCGCGGGATTCGCCTCGACATACTGGTCAGACCGAACGCACCCCGGGAGGAGGAGAGGAGGAGGAGGAGGAGGAGGAGGAGGAGGAGGAGGAGGAGGAGGAGGAGGAGGACGAAGAGGAGGAGGAGGAGGAGGAGGAGGAGAGGAGGAGGAGAGGAGGGGGAGGGGGGGGGAGGAGGAGGAGGAGGAGGAGGAGGAGGAGAGGTGCGGAGAGCAGCAGTCCCAGGACCCTTTCTGGGTTCCCTTCCTTCCATGTTCCTTCGCTTCGTCGTCGTCGTCGTCGTTAGTCGTCTTCCCCCACGACTGGTCTCGGAGAGGGCGAGTTCGTTGTCACCGAGGCCCGCTTCTCGCAGCCTGGGGCTAGGTGTGCTGTCCAGGCGTACGCTGGCCCCGCGAACGAAACGCCGCCAAGGGCCCGTGTCGGCATGGCAATGAGATAAATTTACTTGCGCTCGCAATTTCAGATCCCAACCACCTCACGGCTTCAGGAGCTCACGAGAGCCCCAATGATCCAGCCGTCTGGTTGTCCTCTGGGGAGGCCTGAGAACCTGGGCAAGGGCACTCGCACGACAAGCGAGGCGTAACTACTGCCATTCCGAAGAGCTTTCCGTGGAGGCGCCAGTGCTAGCTCGGACCTGTGGCATGGCAACCTGCGGGACTGCATGATGCTGAGGCAAGCAATCGAGCTACGCAGGAAAGAGGTCCTCAAGCGAAAGAACGTGACGACCTCACGCGGTGGTTTGCGCAGGCCGCCATCGCGGTACACCGCCGAAGATCCTCGCAATCGACACGCACCGCCCCCGACCAAGAATCGGTCAGAACCGTTCTGTCGACCCCATCCCAGGGTCCATCCCGGCCAGTTTCCCGAGCCTCGCCCCTTCGGAGCGGCGAAAGCCTATCGAAGAAGCTCACCAACCCTCAGAACGACCACGCTTTCGTCGTCGTCGTCGTCGTCGTCGTCGTCGTCGTCGTCGTCGTCGTACCCAGACTTCCGGCCGCTCCAATCTTTTCGATGCGCGGGCCACGCAGGTCCGGACCACTTCTCTCTATAGAAGCGGTCTTCGTCCTAAGTCGCTCTTTCCCGCTCCCGAGGCCCGGCGATGGCCCCTGTGGATGCCCAAAGCTGTCACAATCCCGCCGCTCCGATTTTGGTTGGAGCGCCGGACCTCTGGGTATTGGTCGTCGTCGTCGTTGTCGTCGTAAGCGTCGCCGCCGACGTCGCCGCCGTCGCCGTCGCTGGCTCGAGAGCCCGCCGCCGCAGAGGGGCGCCCTCCTGGCGTCCTCCTCCGTGCTCGCGGCCGCCCGCTCGCCGGCAGGCAGCACGGGCCCCCGGGGCCTCCTGCCAAAGGGGGAGCACACCGGCGAGCAGAGGACGCGGCAGGGCGCGTGCGCAGAGGGCGCCCGTCGACCACCGCCGGGCCTGGCCAGGGCCGCCCGTCCAGCAGGGATCCGACGCCTCAAGAGAAACACGGAGCGCGGCGGGACTCTGGCAGTCTCTCGGGCCTCCATAGGGGGGCCCGCGCCGAGCCTCGGGAGCGTCAAAGCACGACGCGCGACGAAGCGCCGGCCCCAGCGAAATGTAAAACATGGCTAGGATCGGGATAAATCGCTCCAGAGCGTTCCAGAGCGCTCTCAGAACGTTCCGGAACGCTCTGGAGCGGCCGCGGCGCCCAATACATCCTCCACGCCGATCCTCAGAGATTTCGAGTTATCCCGATCTGATTTTGTCCCGATCTTCGCGTCGTTTTATCTTGGGCCTCCATAGGCCCTCGCCGAGCCTCGGGAGCGTCAGAGCACGACGCGGGACGAAGCCCCGGCCCCGGCGAAGTGGTCCGGACCTCTGAAGGGGCCCTGGGACACACAAATAAATACACACAAATAACAAGATCCCCCATATTTTCCAATATTCTCTTGGTTTCTGTCTTCCCCACCACTTCCCATACTTTCCCATATTTTCCTGGGAGTCGGCGATTCAGTGTGTCTGTGTGCTTTTTTTTCCTCTCCTGAATCTCTGGGGCCCACGCAGCGAACAAGTGGGAGCGGCCGGGTGTCTGGGCCCGTGCCCGGCCAGGGCCGTCCCGGGCCCTGCATGCCACGGGGTATGCGCCAGCATGTGGCCGAGGCCAGGGGGATCTGTCCATGACCATCCTCCTTCCTCCTTCCTCCTTCCTTCCTTCTTCCTCATTCCTCCTCCTCCTCCTCCTACTCCTCCTCTTCCCCCTCCCCCTCCTCCTCCTCCCCCTCCTCCTCCTCCTCCTCCTCCTCCTCCTCCTCCTCCTCCTCCTCCTCCTCCTCCTCCCTGGACAAGCATGGGAGTGTGTAGATTCCTGACGTGGAGGACCAGCGAACGGCAAAGGAACGTCAAAGAGGCAGGGGCCTTGTGCGCAGGGGCGTGTCAACCTTACGCGGTGGCTTGCGCAGGCGACCGGCGCGACACAGGGCAGGGAAAATAATGTGCTTCACGCGCAGCGGGAAGCTTGCGAATGTCCGAGCACAGTCGCCCCCGTCATTCCAAGTCGCCCACGTAGGGCCATTGCAAATACGAAGATATACCACAATGACTGAGCACGAGGAATATTGCGACCCCTGACAAGCTAACTATCGAGCATGGCCGCCAGCGCCCATATCCCACAGGCTAATTCAGCCTCGAACTCTTTAACGGCACAACCCTTTAGCGAAACACGCTTTAGCCGCGGCGCTTGAAGGACTAATGAACAGGAACAGGAGGCGGAGAAGGAGGAGCAAGAGGATAAGCAGGAAGGTGAGGAGAAGCAACAGCAGCAGGTGGGTACTCGGGATGGCAAGGGGAAGAAGAGGAAGAGGACAGAGGAGGAGGAGGAGGAGGAGGAGGAGGAGGAGGAGGAGGAGGAGGAGGACTGTTGTTCAAGATCGGTTGCAGATGATCGAGTGTGTAGGGCCTCGTGGCCCACGTCATGTCAGGACGCTTCAAGTGTGTCCACGACGCGCACGGAATCTGTCAAATACACTTGAGCCCCTGCGGTCTTCCAGAAGCAAATGTTCCCCCAATGTGCTCCGACAACCCACGAATGGGCTTGTAAATTGCCTTCTCGTGCTTTGGGCTTTGATGGCAAAACTTGGGTGGGGGCATGTTCCTTAAGTGCTGCACTCAATTTACTATGCTACTGCTTCTCCCCGCGCGCGAGCTTGTCACGACAGATTGGGACAATTACCAAAACCGCCGCCCAACAACTTTCCAGAGCCACGAACGCGCAAGCAAATGACGAGGACGATACAAGATGGGCCAATGGAATGCACGAATCGGTTGAATCCGGCGGACCCCCTGCGATCCCCCTTCGCCGTGATGAGCCCTGAGGGTGCATGATGACGTGCCGCGTGGACCCCAGGAGGCGCGCCACGGGCCTTGCGAGACAGCTGCTTGGGGCTCTCTTGCACGCGCTCCGTGCGCCCCAAGGATCTGCGGGGTCGCTCCGCCCTTCACCCGTGAGCTTCCCTTCGGCCCCCCGTGCATCGGCGGTGGACAAGCCTCCCTTTCGTAAACCTCCCCTTAGTGAAAACGGCCTGGTGCCGAAACCGACGGACCTGGACCCGCAAAACTGACGGCCGCGACGCCCTCCCGCGAACCGAAAACGGCCAATTCGCTAATCGACGTGTCAGGGTACCCCGGATTCCATAACAAGGTGGGGGGGGTCACATTCGGGGGGGGGTCTAATTTGAGCTGTCTTGGAGGGTTGGGGGGGGTCTGGGCAAAGGGCCGCCCTTTCATGGATAGTCTGGGGGAGTCTAAAACTTCTTGTCTGGGAGGGTTGTGACCCCCTCGCTTTCATTACGAAATCTGGAGTAGGAGGTCTGTCCACCCCCGATTGCATTCCGGCCCCATGGCTGGACCCCAGAGGCGCTCAGCCGGCCTGTCAAGGCGGCTGGGCGGGGCCTCAGGTCGGCACACCCCTCGCGCACGTCGTACCCAAGTGACTCCCAAGAGGCCCTCGGCTGGCCCTCCGAGGACCCGAAGGAGTGGCCCAAACGCGGCCAGGATGGCCACAGGAGGCTCCGAGGTGGCCTCGCGGAGGCCCTCCAGAAGCCACAGATTTGAACGATTGGCAGCGGCACTGCAAAGCGGCCCCAGCACTCCCCAACAGACTCCAAGGCGACCCCCCCAAACCCCCCTGTTGAAGCCAGCCTGACCACGAGAGAGATCACTTGCAACGATCGGTGCCGAGCCCCGCCAAAGCCGTACCTCCCCCCAATCACCAGCCGACTGCGAGATTTGCGCTCGGGCCTGCCCTCAGAAGAAAGACGCGACCCACACGCGCATCGAGGCCATGTAGCCCGACAAAGCACTCGCATGGACCAGACGGCGCACTGGCTGGGAGTTGTGCGTGCTCGCACGAGCGTTGGTTCTCTCTCTCTCTCTCTCTCACACACTCACGGAAAAGCACGGCAGGCCATCAGAGGCCCGCGAGGCTGACGCGTCAGCCCCGAACCCTTGAAATCCTCCTTGGAGCCCCGCTCCCATCCACTCCTCCTCCACCTGGAAATAATTTCTCTGAGGTCCGCGCGGACTTCTGTATCGGCGCTGGAGCGCGCCAGGGGCGGCGCCGGAGACGCCTCCAGCGGGCCCAGCGCAGATCCAAGCCAGAAATCCGTGCGGACCTCAGAAAAGTTCATGCTTATGCAAGTAGTTGCACTTCAACTGGAGCCCCTCCCCGCGTCCACTCCCTCCCCCATCCCTCCATCCCCCGGGCATCCAAGGACAAGCGACCGTCGCGGATTCCATCCGCCGGGGCACGCCGGAACGGCACGGCGCGACGCTCCGGGACCCGCCCGGCAACGGGGCTGCAGTGGGGCAGCGAAGACACACCGACATGGCTGCTCCCCAGGCCTCTCCCAGTGCGCGGTCTGGCCAAGAAACTGAGCCTGCGGTGGCCTGACAAAATCTGGATTGCCCTGGGGTTGTCCCAAATTCTGCCCCGTGGGATGTCCCGTGGTTGACCCGTGAGCTGACCCGCGGGCCGTCCCGTGGGTGATTTACCGCGACTGGTCGGGCTGGTCCCGCGGGTGGTCCCGCCCAACTGTCTCGTGGCTGTGCTGTGGGTTGTCCTGTTGGTTGTGCCGTAGGTTGTCCCGTGGGCTGTCCTGTGGTTGTCCTGCGGGTTCTCCTGCGGGTTGTCCCGCGGAATGTCCCGCGTTTGTGCGGTGGCCGACCCGTCGGGAATGCAAATCGAGACGCAAATCCAGTTGCAAGCGACCTGCAAAACAATATACAGTTTGAATCGTAGCTTGAGGTGCAATCGTGATGAAGGTCGAAATGCAAAGTAAACTGCCTTCGGCTTGCAACTCTATACTGTATGTGCACATCTAACTTGTAATCCGAGAGTAAGCAGACTTGCGACAATGCATGCAGATCGAACACCAAGTCGACATGTAAACCTACCTGCCGTTGAAAGTAGAAATGCACATGCAATCGAGTTGACCGCCGCAACAACAAAAGTAAAATGACAGTTGTCACTACCGTATAAATTCGCAATGCAATTGCGATCGAAACCGACATCATCATCCGAATATGCATGATACGGTACGTCATCGAAGCGCACATCGAACTGCCAATCGACGTTCATCCAACCTGACAATCGAAATGCACGTCGACATGTAAATACGCGTGCGATCGAGGTGCAATCAGAACGGACATCGAATAACAAACCATCACTGGGATCTAAGTGCAGATTCAAGTTCAACCGAGGGGAAACTCCAACTGCGAGTCGAAATGCACATCCAATTGCAGTTGGCATGCAAATTCAGATGCACATCGGGTACACATAGAACTGTAACCGAGGCGCACGTCGAAATGGAAGTTCCACAGCCCTCAGACACCCTCATCACCCGAAGGGTGGAATATGGGGTATTCATGCGCACTTCTGCGAAACAATCTCTACATCGTCGTCGGCACGCCCTGGGATCCACCGTTGTACTAGGGACCAACTTGAGCACCAGGACGACGCTCGAAAGACCACAACCAGGTCAACTTGGCATGAAAGAAACGGCTTCTGCAGGGAACGGGTCCTGGACTACGGAGCCTCCTCCAGGACCAGGCCTCCATCCTGCGCTGTTGTTTCACGGTCCCGTGGCCCGCATGCCCCCGGGAGGCCCACAACGCGGAGGAACCTCAGGAACCGTTTCCCTCGGGACCCCTGCCCTGCATGGCGGCCCACCCAGGCCCAGGATGGACTACAGCCGGAACGTGGCCCCAAGAACGCGGGTCAAGGGACTGAGCCCGTCCGCCGTGGCCTCCCCAGAGGAGGAGGAGGAGGAGGAGGAGGAGGAGGAGGAGGAGGAGGAGGAGTAGGAGGAGGAGGAACGACGTCCCTCAAAGAGCGCGGCTCAGAACATGGCCCCAAGAACGCGGGCAATCACTGTTGCGGGGACCTCGCGACAATCGGTACGGGGGCAGTTACGCCAACAAAAAAAAAAAAAACAGCGGCAAAACTGCAGCAATGTCGTTGATGCGATGTCTGTAGCAGGCAGGCCCGTGCCAACCGTGAGCCCGTCCGCCGTGGCCTCCCCGCCCGTGGAGAGCGGCGCCCCTCAAAGAGCACGGCGCACCCTCTCCGCGCCCCTCTCACTGGGACCCCGCCATATTGGGCGCCCGAGTTATCCGGGGTAACTCGGGTCCGGGGTAACTCGGGTTTGGGTTCCCGAAAAAGGAACCCGAGTTAGCCCTGACCCGAGTTACCCCTGATGATTCGGGGCTCTGGACGCCCGAATTATCCGGGGTAACTCGGGTCCGGGGTAACTCGGGTTTGGAATCCCGAAAAAGCGAACCCGAGTTAGCCCTGACCCGAGTTACCCCTGATGATTCGGGGCTCTGACCATAACGGGCACTTTGGCCAGCGACCCGGCGAACCCAACCCTCCCCGGTGTGGGCAACGCTGCGGTGCCAGAAAGAGGCCCCAAAGTTGCGGGCAAGGTTCGTATCCATATCCGGTGCGTCTTGGATTTTTTGGGAAGGAGCGTCACAAGGCCGAGGCGCACTGAATATGGATAAAAATCAAGCCTCTAGGGGGCAAATTTATTCATATCCAGCGCGCCTCTGGTTTCTGGGGAAGGGAACCCGAAGCTCCATATCGCAGTGGACATGGACAGAAGTATTGCCCACAAAAGTGGCCCCTTTCGGCAAACCTCCCAACAAAAACCCGTCAGTGCGTACCCCTTACGGTGATGCGGACCCTCGTGCCAGCCGTCTGCACCGGACGGCATGCTCGCGCCGGGTTGGGCCGCTGCGCCCTCTGGCCCCGTCGGGGGGGCCCCGGCGAGGGCTGCACGGAAGGCCGGCCTGGGGCAGCCTCGGGAGGTCCTTCCGGGTTTCCGGCAGGGCTGCGCTCGACGTCTCTCGGCACGACTCCAGCCCTTGGTGGGCCCTGGAAACGACAGGGCCGCTTTTTTACCGGTTCCGTTCTGCCGTTTTTTTGCCGGCTCCGACGCCGGTTTTTCTTACAAATTCCGTTTTGCCGTGCTTTTACGGGTTCCCGCTCCGGTTCCACTCCTGGAGCAGTTTTTGTTGCCGTTTCCGGTCGCCGTTTTTTGTTGCCGTTTCCATTTTCAAGGGACACTTTTTCGGAAACGGTGAAAAGACGGCCCTGCCGTTTCCGGGGCCCGCTGAGCTCCAGCCCAACCGGGAGCTGTCGTCGGCGCTGCGGTCAGGGGCGAGAGGCAGTGAGCACGAGGCGCCGTGACCGAGAAGGTGGGAAGACACCGCACCTCGGGGAGAGCCGCGCGGCACCGCCGCAACCGAAGTTGACGCCGAGTCCGACCGCACGTGCCCGATATGGAGGTCCTGTGCAGAGCGAAGACGTCCATGCCCTCGAAGAAGGGGTCCACAGCAGCATGCTGCACCGAGAGTCTCCTTCGGCCACCACAGCGGGCGGGGCAAGCAGGTGGACAGAGAGGGGCGTCACGGGGACGCGGCACAGGAGAAACGCGAGGGCGAGAGGGGGAGATAGATACAGAGCAGAGAGAGAGGGAGAGAGAGAGAGAGAGAGATGGGGCGCAGGGAAAGAGAAATGGAGGGAGTGGACGCAGGGGAAGGAAGGAGGCGAGGGGAGAGCTGACAGTATCGCCAGGACGCGCCGGCACATTGCCGACACCAACGGCTCTGGTTACACAACGCACAACGACTTTCAATACGTCTGGATCGCTGCGGTGCGTGTCTACACGTCTCGCAATGTAAGTTGTGGACTCAGAGCCTGCACAGTGGCTTAATGCTTTGCGGGCCACAAGGTCAGAAGACGGAAAACGCATCGCAAAATTCCAAGATGGTGAGCCTTGCACTCGAGGACAACTCCTGATGAGGACCGTACTCACTGAGCGCCGTTGAAAGCCATCATGGCGTGCCAGCGCCGATCTCGGGGTGGACGAACGGGGGCGTTCCGTAGTTCAGGGAGGAAGGGTGTCATCTGCGCGCAGCTGGCTTTACCGGCGCCTCCTTGCGCCCGAGGCGACCATGTCTTGAAGGAAGTGCCTGGCGACGGGATCGAGAGCAGCCGCGCGCAGCAAATTTCGTAACCCCCCTTCCCCACCATGCGCCCCCCCCCCCCAAAGTCTGAGACGACGCCGTTCTTGCGAAGACGCCTCGTGATAACACCCCAGAGCACGACCCGGATACAGCCCTGTGTGTGTGCCGGGGAGCGAAAAGTATGAAACATCGAGCAAGACCGTGAGTATACTCGTCGTCCTCCTCCTGCCCCCTCAGCCCTCCATATCCTCCCCCTCTGCTCGGGATGTGAAGGCGCGGGAGGAGATCTCAGGTCTCGCTGCTAAGCTTGGCCCACGCACTTCCTGGAGGTGTCCGCTGCGAGCAGGGCGTCTGCGAGGGACGTGGCCCGCTGCGACATCCCCTCGGCCTTGCGGGCGCCGCTTGATGAAGATAAGAAGGCAAGGCATGGAGCAAGACAGAGAGATCGACGCGACCTCGAGGAGCATGCACAGCACCTACACGCAGAAAGCACCTGTGGACCACCACCATGCCTGGCCAGGGCCAACCTGGGCCCTGGCAACGCATGATGGCGTGACGTGAATTTGCTGGGCGGCATGAGGAGGAAGAGGAGAACAGAGCGCGACCACAGAACTTCACCGGACTTGGCCTCGCCCGCTGTGCGAATCAAAAGGTCGCCAAGTAAATCGGGAACGCTACAAAAGCCGACCTGAGAAAGGCAAACTCATGCAATGAACCGTGGCCTGAAAGAGAATCGAGCGCGTTGCAAGCGCGAAGAAAGGGAGAAGCGAGGGGGGGAGAAGGGAGGCATTTAGAAGGGCGGGCAGGACGGGCGAACGCCGAGGCTCGCCACGGCCAAATTCCACAGCCACGTGATGGTGTGATGTGAGTATAGACGCCTTTTGAGGAACATTCAGCTGTGAGGGCGGGGTAATCAGATGATGCTCGCCATGTCCACGCGCTGCAGTGCACATGCATCGGGGGGGGGGAGCGCAAAGGTGGGTAGGGCCAGGGGTATAGTTGGGAGGAGCATCGCTCTAAACGATTCCTGGAAGAAGGAACCCTGAGCATCCAGCTGTGATTTCGCTCCCGCGCCCTCCTTGGGAGAACCCCCCCTCCACGAACCCCCGAAGGCAGTGGGCAAGTGGCCCTTCCGGCGAGCAAGCCCGGGCAACAGCATTAGACCTCCATCTGTGCTTCGGCATCCTCCTCCCTCCTCCCTCCTCCTCCCTCCTCCTCCCTCCTCCTCCCTCCTCCTCCCTCCTCCTCCTCCCTCCGAGATGCCGAGGGCACGCTCGCACGGCCCCCCGTTCCCCGATCCCTCCTCGTGCACTGCAGCCTCGTGCTCCCCCTCCCTTCCCCCCAGTCTGCCGCCGTCAAGCAGCGGGGCCTGCGCCGATGCGCTGTCGAGCTTGAAGGAGACGATGCGGGAAAGCAGATCCTGACGAGGCGCACGCCAGAGGATGGCGCTCGCCGCGGCTCGACGGGACTACTTCCCCAAACAGAGTCTACACTGGGGGCCCTTCCTTTGGGACGCCCAGAGTCACACCAATACTATATGTCCCCTTTGGAGGCGCGCGTCCGACCCGAACATATAGCATACCCACCTTGTAGTACATCGTTTCCCGAGCGGTGTGGCCAGAAAACGCCCGCCACGACGCGTATACTATAAGCTTCCTCGGTGCGCGCGTCGCCCCTGGGGCCCTGGGGGGGCGACGCACACGTAGCAGAAGCATGCTGGGGTGACGCCGATGCATTCTTCCCCGAATAAAGTCGACGGGCGTGGCGGGGTGTTTTGCCCGGTGCCCTGGGACACACAAATAAATACACACAAGTGAAAAGATTCCCCCTAGTTTCTCATATCTTCTGGGTGTTCGTCTTCCCCCCCCCACTTCCCCTATTTTCTGATATCTTGAGGACTCGACGATTCCTTGTGTCTGTGTGTGCTTTTCCCCTCCTGAGTTCTGCCCGCTGCCCAGTGCCGGCTGCCGCCCGTGGGCGCTTCGCGGGCGCGCCCCCGTGCCCCGGGCGGGCGCGGCGAGGTTTTTCGCCTTGTGTGCCCTGTCGGTGGCCGCCCGTGGCCGCGGGGCGGGCGCCGGCAGGGCCTGGGCCGCGCGGCGTGCACCGCAGAATGCGGGATGACGATTAAAAAAAAATGAGAGAGAACGATTAAAAAATAGTTTCCTGTTGTTTCTGCACACTTTTTTCCTGCTGATTAAAAAAAGGTTTCCTGCTGTTTCTGCACAATTTTTTCTGACTGGCGGAGAACGATGAAAAAAAATAGTTTTCCAGCCCGCGGCCGGTTGTTTCTAATCGCCATCCCGGGCGCCGCCGCGTGAACACGACCCCCGGTCATTTATTAATCGTCATCCTCCATTAGCCTACACCACATCTCTTGCATCGCAGAACTTACATAGTGTGCAGCACCCAGCGCCGACCACATAAATTACACCACGCAAGTTTCACATCCACAATGCGACAGCTTACTGCTCAGGATCCACACTGGCAAATCTTGTAATCACAAAATGCGACAGCTTACTGCAGCACCCAGCGCCGACCACAGCTCTTGCATCGCAGAACTTATTCGAGATTCCGTAATAGAAGGGAGGGGGTCACAACCCTCCCAGACAAGAAGTGTTAGACCCCCCCAGACTATCCATGCAAGGGCGGCCCGTTGCCCAGACCCCCCCCGAACCCTCCAAGACAGCTCAAATTAGACCCCCCCCGAAGGTGACCCCCCCCACTTTGTTATGAAATCCGGGGTACACATAGTGTGCAGCACCCAGCGTCGATCACATAAATCACACCACGCAGGTTTCACATCCACAATGCGACAGCTCACTGCTTAGGGTCCACTGGCAAATCTTGTCTTGCAATTCCATGTCGGTCCGCTCATGAGATGGCCACTGTCCCTTCTCTGCTACAAAAGCGACTTCATATCCCAACGGCTTAATCCTCGTGAACTGTGAGATGCCTCGCCCATTTCTGGATCCCTCAGAGAAATCACAATTGCACGTTCCTAATCCGCCACCGTGCCTGCAGCACGTCGAGGCGTGGAAGAATACCAAGGCTGCCTGGCAGGTTCCTGTAGTCTTCTAAAGGACCACCCACTCTTGGTTCAGCGAACAGGCGACTGCACCACCCCTACTCTTTGGGGAGGGGCCCTGGGCGGCCATGGCGCCTCCCTGAGGCTCTCCAAAGCTTCCATTACGGCGCAGGAGTCCCGCCCAGGCCGCCAAGAGGCCTCCAAGACAGCCCAACATCGCTCCCAAAGGACCAAGATGGTCCCAAGACGGCCCGAGAGGCCCCCAAAAAGCCCCAAGAGCGCTCCAGTCGGACCTCCACTAGAGCCCAAAGAAGCCAAACATGTCGGTGTCCATTGTGTATGTTTTTATGTGTTTACGTTATCGCCGATTCGGCTTTCCGACGCTCCAAGACGGCCCAGAAGGCCCTCAAGACCACCCCACAATGGCCCAAGAGGCCTCCAAGAAGGCCCCAAGAAGGCCTAAGGACACCCCAAACGGCCCAAGAGGCGCCCAAGACGGCCCAAGAGGGCACGGCCCCAAAAGAGCCGCCAAAGAGGGAACACTGACCGAAAATCCTAGCCTTCCGCCCCAAGAGGCCACCAGGAGGCCCGAAAAGGCACCCGAGACGCCCCAATAGGCCCACTGGAGACCCCCCAAAGGGCCCCAAGAGGCTCCAAAAGCGACCCCAAAACGGCCCCCAAGAGGCATCAAAACTGCCTCCACGAGGCCTCCGAGAGGCCTCCACAAGATCCCAACGAACATCCAATAGGCTTCATACCCACAACTCAGGCACGGTGGCGTGACTGGCCGTAGGCAGCTGAAGTCTGACAAGATGCGATGTGCCTGAACCCGCCCAAAGAAGAGGACGGGGTGGCACCTGCGCACGACCCCATCGACACCGTCCCGAAGACCCTTCAGACCTCTCAATATCGCGAAGATGTCTCGATGGAGTGTACGACTGTCCCCCAACTCCGGGAAGGGGGCGCAAGAGACGGGAAGGAGGAGTACACCCTGAGGCGTACAGGTGTCATTACTACACAAAAACCATTGGCGCCGCAGGACTCTGCACATATTTAATCCGCACTCGGACCGAAGCATGGGGAAGAACAGGAAATTGCGCGAATGGAAGCGGAGGGAGGAGGGCAGCACTGAGGATGGAGGAGGAATCCCACCCAGCCCTGTGGGCGCATGTGGTATACGTAGTGATGGTTAGCTATTCCAACCCACTTCTTTGCCTGGGGTGCATTCCTTCCCTTCGGGATGGATTTTGTCACTGCTCCCTCACCCGCACGGCCGGCAACCAACCCGCACACCCCTCCCACCATCACTGTCTCAAGAACAATGCAACATACACTTTGACTCCAAATCTGGAATCTGGAGCATGCGCGGGCGCCCCACGATCACTTTGCATGGCTTTTGGCAGGGACAGTGGGGGGGGCCAGCATATCACCTGCTTTGTGCCATGCCACCCCCTCCCGCAATCCATGCCAAAAAGCAATGCGAAGCTCACACTGCTGCAGAATAGTTGGTCATGCTCGGGGTGGGGGGGGCGCGAGCACGTTGTATTGTTTGTTGTCTTGCCAGGGACGGCAGGGTGCCAGCATATCGCCCTCTGTGCACAGGGCCACCGTCCCTGCCAACGAGCAATGCAAACTGCACCTCGCGGCTGAATCTGGATATCGCGCGCGGGCACCCCGCGATCACGCTGCACTGGTTTTTGGCGGGAACGGCGGGGGCTCTGGCAAGTTGCCTACTGTGCGCAGGCCCACCAGACACCATTGAAGGGGAACTGGAACACACAAATAAATACACACAAATAAAAAGATCCCCCATAGTTTCCCATATTTTCTGGGTTTTTGTCTTCTCCCCCACTTCCCATAGTTTCCTATATTTTCCTGGGGGTCGGCGACTAATTGTGTCTGTGTGTTTTTTCCCCATCCTGAATCATGATGGCCACTCCGCCGCGATGGTTCATTGGTTTCCGACAAGGATTGTGGAGGCCGACATGTTTCCCGAGATGCGCGGGCGCACCTGAAACACCCTGCGCGTGCCCCGAACGTGGCGTACCTGACGCGGCTGGAGCATGCGGCGCCCTTGGCGCACGCGGAGCACGTGGCACATGTGGCGCACTAGGCATGCCTGGCACGCTTGGGCCTCAGGGGCGCCTGGCGCGCGTGGCGCGCCTGGCACGCGTGGCGCGCCTGGCACGAGTGGCGCACCTCGCCGCAGCGTCGCGCACCTGGGACCTGTATTGGCTCCCAGGAGCTGCCCATCCAAAGACGACCGTTGAATGTGCTGAGACTCGGATACGACTTATGTGTTATGAGGAACCAACCAATTTGCGCCTGGGAGAAGTGTCTTGACCCCTTCCCGTACGCCATCCCGTTGGCCACGGGGCGTGGGCCTGGGCTTTAGATGGCCCAGGACTGCGGCAGATAGCCCTGTATGGGTTCCAATCAACCCAAGATGGCTCACTCTGACATCTGGCATCCTCTCGACTTCCTTTCTCCCGACACCTTCTCCTGGGCATCGTTTCTGGATGTGTCGCCCGAGGCTGGCGAAGCGTGAAACAAAAAACAATGGGAGGAGCGTGTGGCGATGAGGCGATCGACCTCTGCGTGTTCATGGTCGCGCCGCCGCGCCATTTTGGCTGCGCTTACTCGCTGGTCGCCAACGGGATTTGCACGCCACCGGGTTTGGGAGTATCTGTTCTGGCTCCCCTTCTGAGTGGCTGCCTGCTCGCTCGCTTCGCTTGCCTTTCTTTCCCTGCTGCCTAGTCGCGGCCCGACGAATGTTCGGAGCCTGTTTCTCAAAACGTGTGGCGATGAGGACGAGAGGGAGGAACAGGAATCGGAGGAGGCATCGAATTAGCAAGGTCAGGCGAGTCAGAAGGTAATCGCGTGTGGCCGTGGCGCACTCGTCTGTTGGGGCTGGAGCGCGCCCCCGCCGCGCAGGCGGAGGGCGCTCGCGCTCGGCCCCGCGCCCGACGACTTGGCAGCCTGCCGTCGCTCGGACGTCCATTCCCTGTGGGTTCTGTCGGTTTTTGTGCGTCTTCTTCTTGCGCGATGATCCAGGACGCTCTTCGATGGTCCTCGCCGGGAAAAAACGCACACGTCCGAGCGATGCCAAGGCGGAGGGAGAGCTGCGCGGGCCGCGCAGGGCCAGGAACGAACAGAACTCCGATGGGCGCGGCGACCACGAAGCTGAAGGGGCCCTGGGACACACAAATAGATTCATACAAATAACTGGATTCCCTATATTATCCCATTTTCTCTGTGGTTTTGTCTTCCCCCCCACCCAGTTCACATACTCTCCCATATCTTCTAGGGGATCGACGATCAATTGTGTCTGCGTTTCTCTTCCCCTCCTGAGAAACATGCGCCACGGTGACACAGCACTGCCACTTTTACTCACAAGCGGCGCGGCGCTCGGGCGAGTTCGGCGAATACAGAGGTGGCGACGAGGGCCTCCCAGGAGGCCCCCAAAGGGGAAAACAAGAAAAGAGTTACGTATTGGCATCTAGGGAAACTAAAGGGTACTGACACCGCTACCCCCCAGACTTCTCCTGGGGTGCGTTCTGACCAGAATTCCGAGGCGAATCCAGCGGTGGCGACGAGGGCCTCCCAGGAGGCCCGAAAAGGGGACAAGGGCGAAGGGTAGCGGTATGGGTACCTTTTCCTCCTCTGCGGATATTGAGCAGGGACCGACCGTCCCGCCATTCCTATAGGCCTACCACGACATGTTCTTAGAACCCAAAAATGTTCGAATAACAAAACGATGATCTTATAGCATAAGCCCTATGCGTTGAAACACGACAGTCTCAGCCAGACATGTTCCAAGAACAGTTCGTGCAAACCACCAGAAAAGTTCTCAGAACGCTCTGTGGTAGGCCTATGGGCGAGATGGGACGCTTCGCCACCGCTTGAGGATAATTATAGGGAACCGAACTCTATACACCGATGCCATTTTCCGGTCCCGCACTGAGATTCGCACAAAAAAAACGGATTCTGGTGTATACGGCATCCTGGCGTGTGTGTATATATATATAGATATTGTTATTTCCCACGGGAACACGGGGAAACAAGTATGCACCACACCACCCCGACGTCGTCCCCGACCCTCGAGAAACCCGGGGATTCAACAACAGCCCGCCCCTGGTAGCGTATACGTTCCACCGTTTCCGAAATCAACGGGGGGCGGGCGAGCCCAGGATCGGATCGACAAGTCGGATCGGCGATCGACATGAATCGGATCGTCGGAAATCGGCAGCCGAGTCGGGAGAAGTCGGATCGGCGGAAATCGGCAGGCTGATGTGCCTCCCGTAAAGAATCGGAGCCCAAATCGGACTCCCAGATCGAATCGAATCGGAATCGGAAACCATCGAAATCGAATCGAATCGAATCGGAGGAATCGAAACGAGCCCTGCGAAATCAACGGCAAGCGGGCAGGCTCCTCCTCTCGCTCGCTCGCCGCCCAGAGCGGCGGCCGGCCGGTGAGCAGCTGGTACGCCAGGCACCCCAGTGCCCACGCGTCTGCCGCGAGGGTGGGCGCGCGCCCCTGCACCACCTTGTGGGAGGGCGACGAGCAGCGGCACGGGAAGGAGGAGGAGGGGGAGGGGGAGGAGGAGGGGGGGGAGGAGGAGGAGGAGGAGGGGGAGGGGAGGAGGAGGAGGAGGAGGAGGAGGAGGAGGAGGAGGAGGAGGAGGAGGAGGAGGAGGAGGAGGAGGATCCCTTCCCCGCCGGGGGGGGGGGGGGGGCGAGGGGGGGGGCCAGGGGCGGGGCGTCCGGGGCGTGCGAGGCGAGCGCGTGCCGCTGCGGAGCCGGAGTTTATACACCGATGCCATTTTTCCGGTCCTCCTCGCTCCTCGCTCCTCGCTCCTCGCTCCTCGCTCCTCGCTCCTCCTCCTCCTCCCTCCTCCTCCTCCTCTCCTCCTCCTCCTCCTCCTCCTCCTCCTCCCCCCCTCTCCTACCCCTCCCACGGCGGACGCAGGCCATTTGCGAGTGGTCACTTTGCGAGCCGTGGGGCGGATTCGGTGTGCACGGCATCCTGGTGCGTACATGTTTGGTTGTGTTCAAGGGAAAACGGAGAGAAAAAAGTATGCACCACACCACCCCGACGTCGTGCCCGACCCTCGAGAACAACCGGGGATTGAAAAACAGCCCGCCACTGGCAATGTAGACGTTCCAGCGTCCGAGAAGTAGCTGCTCGCAAGTGGCCTGGATCTCCCCCGCGGGGGATCTGCGACAAGTGACATCGAGGCAGACATCTGCTCTTCGGACGTTTGCGAGGAGGCACTTTGCGAGCAGTGGAACGCGCTCGGTGAATGAGGGCCGCCGCAAGCTCTCCCCGACCTCTCTCCGGGCTGCCAGGCGAGGCAGACGAACGAGTGGAAATGAGCCAACACAGAGACTTCCCACAAGAAAAGCCCAACCCTGGGACCCCAGGACGTCCACATCGATGCTTCGTGTGGGATCGTCACGCTTCCCAGAGGAAAACCATCGAAACCCAAGAAACCCAGGGCAGGCTGGAGGCAAGCGGGGTGTTTCTTGGCATGGGCTTCTGCTGTAGGATCCCGAGCCCTGTGGGAACAGACCTAAGTTCAGAAGCCCAAAAACCTGAGGGATCTGTATTCTTCGTGCAGATGCATCAGACCAAACCACCCAGACGGGAACCCAAGTGAGGCTACGTCTTCATTGCGCTGTCAGGGTTAGGGGCACTTCTGTCCACGATGAACCCGCTCGGGGGCCCATGTACACAACTGGAAAAATAACGCAAATGTTTGTCCCATTTCTTCCCCCCGCCCTCCCCCCCAGAGTCGCGATCTCAAGACCGTCTGGACCGCTTCGATAAACATCGATCGATCACCTCGATCGCTCACAACTCAGAGGAGGGAAATGTTCCCTTACAGCTCTTTCGACTTTTTGGGCCTCCTGTCAGGTCCTCGTCGCCACCGCTGGATTCGCCTGGACATTCTGGTCAGAACGCACCCCTGGAGAGGTCCGGGGAGCAACGATATTGGCATCTCCTGGTTTCCCCAACAGCGGCCGTGTCTGGGGCGCAGTGGCGCCAGGCTGGGGCGGCCCCAACTCCGACGGACAAGGGTCGCTTGTGCGCAAGAACCTGCACTGACCGGCGCCCGAGCAATTCTCATCGGAATGACTTCGTCGCACGCCTCGTGTCCACGCCTAGGCACCACGACGCTTGAGAATATCGCAAGTCTGGCGCCATCGAACCATTATCTCATCAGATTTTTCAGAGTTCGAACCCGATACCAGGATCATCATCACGAGCGGTGCGTGTGCACGTGCGTGCCGAATCGCCAGAGAGAGGCAGGTAACCGAGCGTTGAACCACACGCCAAGACCTCTTCACGACCCCTGAAGCGGCAGTGGCTGGGCAAATGTAAACGATCAACGCGCCAATGCAACTCTTGCCCATTTGAATCAGAAGCCCTCGAGGTCATGCCCTCCCATGTGTCTCACCTCCCCTCTTTGCCGACGCAAGTGAGCCACCTCTGGAGGCAGGTACAACGTGGTGCCCTCCACGCGCTCATCCTGCTGCACGTCAGGCGAGGCCTGCACAGAAGGGAGCAACACCCATTGGCAACTCGGGGTAGACCAGCTAACTGCTCACGCAACGTTTCTTCGGTCATCGCGAGCTCATACTACGCCAACGCTCGGTGGGCCCTGGAAACGCAGGGAGCGTCTTTTTGACGGTTACCTGTTTCCAATTCCGTCGTTGCTTTTTCCCTGGCTCCGCCGACTTGTTTGTTGCATGTTGTGTTTGCGTTTTTGTTCCGGTGAACCCTTTTTATTCACGTCTTCACTGACGAATGCCAATTTGCTGGGCATGGTAACTCTGCCGCTTCCAAGGCCCACTAAGGCTGATACTACTCGGCGGCGCGCACTGAGGGGAAGTGAGGAGGAGCAGGCCTTCTAATCAGGCAGCGGGGCTTCTCAGAAGTCTTTGGCCTTCTGTTTTTGTGCGTTTTCGGGGAAGGCTTAGAAGGCTTCTCAGAAGGCCCGAGGCCTCCCGAGCCTTTCGAGAAGGCCCGACCCTTCTCACTTCACCTCCATGCTCGCTGGCGAACCACAGTCAGCCCGTACGATAAGGACGCGCGATGAGGGTGCATGGGCCAAGGGCCTTGGAAGGCCACGTCGACACTCTGCGAGCGGGGCGCGGCCAGCGAAAGCGGCCAGGGACGGGCCGAAGATGCAAGGATGCAAGGGTACCCTTGGGAAGGCCACCCATCCTGCCTACAGTCATCGGCCTGACCTAAGGAACGATAAATAAGGAACGAAGCCCCTTTTTTATCCCAAGGTATAACGCATGAGGAACGATACATAACAAATAACGCATAAGGAGCTGTAAATAACGCATGCAAGCCTAAGGAACGACCGAGCCCCTTTTGAAAAGCAAGTGTTCCTTATTCAAGCCGCTCACTGCGTGCGGGTTGACAGTGCGCCAGCACCTACCCCACGCCTCCGCTTCCCGAGCGCCCGCTCCCCCGCGAGCCAGATGCCGGAGCGCACGCCACCGTGCGCCGGCTGCTGGCCCGGGGCGCGCCACGAGACGGGCCGTCGCTGCGTCCCGCAGCCTCTGCCCCGCCCTCCGGGACGGGGGAGGGGACCCCAGCGGGGGCCTGGCCGAGGCGGGCGGGGCGGCGCCGAGAGGGAGCCCACAGAGGACGTGCGCGCCCGGCCACGTACACGAGCACGGCCCCTCGATCCGCGGCACTTTGGCGGCGCGCACGACCCAGACCCCCTCGCGAGTCATAAAAAATCACGACGGGAGGTTTTTTGCTATTTTCGGCCTCCGGGGGCCCTCGCCGGGCCTCGGGACCGTCAAAAAACGACTCAGGATGAAGAGCCGGTCCCAGGGAATGGGTGGGGTCGCGTCATGAAAAAATCATGACGTCGGGGGTCTGGGAAGGGGGTGGGGGGGGGGGGGGGGGCTTCTTGGAAGCAGGCTGCTTCTTAGAGGGCGCCGGCCTTAAATCTATGGACAAGGCCCGCGCCTTCTGAGAAGCTTCTGAGAAGCCCTCCCCCCTCCCCCCACCCCCCTCTGCGCGTGGCTGAGCACTGGCCGCGTGATACGAATCATCCGGGCAGTGCGTACTCTCGAAACCAGCGTGGATTCATGCGCGTGCACGTCCTTCTTTTCAGGGCCCCGTGGGCCCGTACACGCTAGACCCAGACACCCAACATCCCTCGAAAACAATTTTTCCAAACGGCGGCACGAACAAAATACTGTACTGCAACATTTCCAAACTAAACCCGGACACAAGCCCCAAAAGCCTGCTGCAAGACACCCCTTAACCCGGACACGAACCCGAATCCTGCAGTGCAGCAAACAAAACATGCACGGGCGCTGAAAAACGTGACTTTGCAGGAAAGGATGTCGTTTTTTTCCGTGTCCTGGTCTATCTTCGGGTGTTGCTAGAAGTGCCCCTGGGCCAAGGTGCCCCCAGGATTCCAGGGGTACCCCCCAACGGCCTCCAGAGCACCCCTCACGAAGCCCATATAGGGCACCAGGGGCTCCAAAATGGAGCGAAAAGCTGGGGGCACCTCGGGCCAGGGGTACTTCTAGCAACACCCGATTCGGGGATCTTCTGACCCGGGTCAATCCAGACCCGGGTCAGCAGGAAACCAAAAACTGAAATGCAGGACAAAAAAACTGCAGCGCAGGTCTGTACAAACCTGGGTCAGCCAACATGCGCGGCCGCCTCGCGGCCACGAACGGCTCGCTAACCCGGGTCAGCCAGAGGGGGTCTTCGCAGGATCCTGCAGGATCCGGTGCCCTGGCTGTCCCCCGTTTGCATTGACCCCCGTCTCGAGGCTCCCGACGTCATGATTTTTTCATGACGCGACCCCCAAAGGTCCCGACCCATTCCCCGGGACCGGCTCTTCATCCTGAGTCGTTTTTTGACGGCCCCGAGGCCCGGCGAGGGCCCCCGGAGGCCGAAAATAGCAAAAAACCTCCCGTCGTGATTTTTTCATGACCCGAGGGGGTCTGGGTCGTGCGCGCCGCCAAAGTGCCGCGGATCGAGGGGCCGTGCTCGTGTGCGTGGCCGGGCGCGCGCGTCCCCTGTGGGCTCCCTCTCGGCGCCGCCCCGCCCGCCTCGGCCAGGCCCCCGCTGGGGTCCCCTCCCCCGTCCCGGAGGGCGGGGCAGAGGCTGCGGGACGCAGCGACGGGGCCTGATCCTTCGCTCCCGAGCCCATGGCCGGGCCGCTGCGAGCGAGCGGCCCGCGCGCGCGGGCCCGGCCCTCACTTCTCCGCAGCCAGCCGGATCCGGGCCCTCGCTCGGCCCCGGGGCCGTGGCCAGCACCGGCGCCCGGGGGGGCGGCCAGGCCCTCGCGGGAGGCCCCCGTAGGGAGGCCTCCTGTCGGGTCGGGCGAAAGTGAAGGGGCCCCAGGACACACAAATAAATACACACAAATAAAAAGATTGCCCATATTTTCCCATATTTTCTGGGTTTCTGTCTTCCCCCCCACTTCCCATATTTTCCCATATTTTCTGGGGAGTCGAGGATGAATTGTGTCTGTGCGTTTCTTTTCCTCCTGAGCAAGGGGGGGATAGCAAAGGGGGGGGGGAGAATCAGCTCACGTATAGCTGACTTTTCCCGGCGCCTCCCGGCGCCGGAGGCGGCCACGTATCGAGGAATGGGCCCTATATAGGTGAGGCCGAATCCAGCTGCATGCAGCACATTTCGCAACCCCCTCTTTCCCAGTCCCCCCTTCCGTCCCGCCCGGTCCGAGCAGATAGGGTCGAAGGATCGCGCCGCATCGCCGATGCATCGGCGACGCATCGGCGACGCATCGGCGGCGCATCGGCGACGTTTCCGCGACGTTGGCGTGGGCAACATCGGGCTCCACATCGAGCCGCATCGTCGATGCACCGGCGATGCGGCGCGACCCTCCGACCCCCTCTGGGAGGCCTTGGTCCCCGCCGTGAGCGGAGCGCGGCGTCGGAGTTCCGGGGTGGGAGGGGCCCGGCGGCGCGGAGGGGGGGTCCCGGCCCCGGGCCCGCGCATGGGCCACGGCGGTGGCGCGGGGCGGTGGCGCGAGGACTCCGGGCTGCGCAAGCAGCACGGAGTCCTCGGACTTTTTCCCTCGTCGGCGGCGGGGCAGAGGCAGCCCGCACCAGCGCGAGGCTCCTCGGGGCAGCCGGAAGGCGGCTCGTCCGGCGTGCGAGAGGATAAGAAACTGCACCCTCGCACACGGGCGCAGCAAGATCCACATCCGCGGCGGGCTTCCGTTTGGGCGGCATCCTCCTGGGCGTTCTATCCTTCCGAACCTCCCTCACTCCCACCCGCGTCTGCGGGCACTGTGGTTACCCAGTGTTGCCAAACCTCTGCCTGCTGTTGTCCGTCGCTGCTGCTGTCAGAACCAGCACCAGCTCAAGAACTCCGATAATAATGATAATAATGGTACGAATGATAATATTAGCAACCAAAAAAGTAATATGATTGATCGTACGGATACTAATGCGAATAATGCTACGAATGAGAAACAAACTGACAATATATGAGTAAGAATAGCAGGAATAAATCAAGAAACATAAAACTAATCATACACATACAACATAAGCAGAACAATAACATTAAGACCATTGATCGAAGCAGATGCGCAGGGAGGGTGGCATAGTCCGAGATCCAGGACCTATAGAAGGGACGGGGGGGGGATGCGAGGGAGAAGAAAGAGGACGAGAAGGACGACGGAGACGATCAAGAGGATCAGGACGTCGAGTAGGATGGGGACGGCCACCAGGAGGGATCGCAGGGTTGGAAGCACGAAGGAAGGACAGCACATAGGGGAGCTGGAAGGATGGATGGGGACGAGGGGGGAGAGGAGGAGCGGGGGCACAAGGAGTGAGAAGGAGCAGGAGAGGGAGGCGGCGGAGGGAGGAGGGAAGAGAAGAGGAAGACCCCCGTCGGCACCACCCTTAAGAAGACACCGACAAAGAGGACCGAACTGGCTCAGCAAAGACGCGGTCGAAATGTCGGGGGGGAGATCATGGTAGATCGGCTTTGGACAAACCTCCCTTTAGTAAACCTCCCTTTAGTGAAAACGGCCTGGGACCGAAACCGACGGACCTGGACCCGCAAAAATGACGGCCGCGACGCCCCCTCGTGAATCGAAAACGGCCAATTCCTTAATCGACGTGTCAGGGTAGGAGGTCTGTCCAACCCCGAGTAGAGAGGGCTGACGTTACGACCCGCGAACAGATGAGGCAGACCTCGCGAGGAGGTTGCCATGGCGGGCATGCCGCACGCCTCCCCCGCTTCCTCCTGCCGCGTCCCCCCTCCCATCACCCCTCACTCCTCACTCCTCACGCACCCCCCCCTCCACATCCCTCGCCCTCCTCGCCTCCTCCTGCCCCGCCTCCTTGTCCTCTCCAGTCCCCTTCTCCGCCGCCAGCTCGCTCTCCCACACCTCGACCACTTCCTCCTCCTCCTCCTCCTCCTCCTCCTCCTCCTCCTTCTCCTCTTCCTCCTCATCCTCCTCATCCTCCTCCTGTTCTGCGCCTCTTCCCCCATGACACTCATCATCCCATGGTCTTGCCATCTGCTTCCTTATCGGCGCCAAGAGGTGGCTGCTCCGACATCTGCATCAACACACAAGCAACCTAATGCAAAAGGGCCACGGTGCAAACGGAAGCATCAGACCGCGCCCGTGGTGCGAACATGGAGAGCGTTCGCTCCCAAAGAAAACCTGCGATGCGGGGCTGGGACCCAAAGGTAACCGCGATCGCGCGACTCCTTCGATCCGCAGCAGTGGGCGTTGGGGAGAAGAGGAGGAGGAGGAGGAGGAGGAGGAGGAGGAGGAGGAGGAGGGAGGGAGGAGGGAGGAGGAGGAGGAGGAGGAGGAGGAGGAGGAGGAGGAGGAGGAGGAGGAGGAGGGGGAGGAGGAGGAGGAGGCCGAAACATCCGGCTGCTCGAAGTTCTCCGAGGCGTGGGGCCCCGGAGGTCGAGCCACTCCCCCGGGCCCGGCTGTTTCGCCTACCGAGCCGTTTCTGGACGCTCCCGAGGCCCGGCGAGGGCCCCCATGGTGGGCCTGTTTTCCACCACCACCACCACAAGTTGGAGGGGGAGGGGGTCCTCCTCCTCCTCCTGCTCCTCCTCCTCCTCCTCCTCCTCCACCTCCTCCCCCCCTCCGACTTATGGTGGTGGTGGTGGAGAACAGGCCCATCGCCCCAGAGGCCGAAAAAATCATAAAAATCTTGCCGCTCCCACTCTGTTGGAGCGTCGGATCTCTGGGGGGGGAGGAGCCAAAAAGCGGCCCAAGCATGAGCTGCTCGTCGTCTGGGCGGGCCCCTTAGATCGGCGCCGGAGCCGCTCCCTGGCGGAGCTGGAGCGCGCACGGGCGCGGCGCCAGAGGCGCTGCCGAGGGGGGCCCAGCGTCGATGTAAGAGATCCGTGCGGACATGCGGGCGTTTGTGTTTACGCCTTTTGATCTCCGAGTGTGGGCCCAACCAGGTGGCGACATCCGAACCCTGCCCCCATCAACCATCCATCCTCCTTATAATCGATGCGAGGAGGAGCATGGTTAAAAATTTCGCCACGTGCTCGGCGAATTCCGAACCCTACCCCCCCGCCGCCCATCGAATTGCTCGAATCGTGGGTCGACAAGAGTAGGGCTCGGATCCCGCCGCCGACCAGATGCGCGACGCACGCAGATCGAATCGCCTCACCCGCGGGGTGCGAGTAGGCTCGTCTCGCTGCGGCCAGCGCACAGCCGGCGCGAGAGCGTCGGAAGCCGAGAAGGCGCGAAGCGAGCGGCCACCAGACCGGGGGAACGGAGACAGGGTGCACTCGGGAGCACTCGAGATAGGGAAACAGACGATGTCATCCTGAATCCATCGTCGGGGGACACGCAAATGACGTACACATAACAACTCGCAAGACGAAGACAGGGTGCACTCAGGAGCACTCGAGATAGGGAAACAGACGATGCCATCCTGAGTCAATCGTCGGGGGACACGCAAATGACGTACACATAACAACTCGCAAGACCGCCCGGATTTCCTCGTAGCGGCGCCCGGGTCCCCTGGGCGGCGGCTCTGGCGCCACCCCTTCGCGCTCCGCGCGGCACGGAAAGGGGAGTCCAGCGCCAATCCGAGAAATCCCCGCGGACCTCCGAGCTTTTATTTTCATGTCATTGCTTTCGGCGGCGAGCGAGGGGGGGGGAAGTGAGAAGGGGCGGGCCTTCTCAGAAGACTCGGATGTGTCCCAGCCTTCTGAGAAGTTTCCTAAGCCTTCCCCGAAGACACAGAAAACTTCCGAGAAGGCGGCGGGGCTTCTGAGAAACTCCGCCGATGTTTGTTCCCCTAGAGGTGCACCCGGGAGGACTCGAAAGGCACCTTGAATCAGTACGAGTCCGAACTGGAGAGGTGTGGGCGTCGAGCTGTGCCAAGGAGATCGGGCGATACATGGACGCGGGGCTGCCAGAAAGGGGACGAGGACGCGGCGGGCTCAGTCGAGGCTCGTGGACAGTGCGATCCGCGACAGCAGAACAGCTGGACAACCAGAAACAAAAGGCAACGACAGCCCAGCCAGCGCAGGACCCGGCAATAACCCGTAATGCTGACAGGCGGCGCATCGATTGGTCGGCGCGGCTGCTGTCCGAGGAAGCACCCTGGGGACGCTTCCCCTTTCGTCTGCGATGGACCCCGCCTGCCCTGCCCTCCTCGGGGATCTTCTGACCCGGGTCAATCCAGACCCGGGTCAGCAGGAAACCAAAAGCTGCAATGCAGGAACAAAAAAACTGCAACGCAGGTCTTCGCAAACCCGGGTCAGCCAATATGCGCGGCCGCCTCGCGGCCACGAGCGGCTCGCTAACCCGGGTCAGCCAGAGGGGGTCTTCGCAGGATCCTGCAGGATCCGGTGCCCTGGCTGTCCCCCGTTTGCATTGACCCCCGTCTCGAGGCTCCCGACCTCCGCCTTCCAGGCACGCCCGGCGCCTCCTCGCTGTCGGCGGGGGCCGCTGCACCTTGCGGGCACGGAGCGGCTCGTGCACTCGTCGGCGCACCTGCTTCTCCTCCGCCCTCCGCCCTCTCTCACCCTCCGTGCCGCCCGTGGTCAGTGCCCTCCTCCACCGACGCTTCGTGATTTCTGCTGCCATCTCGCGGCTCGGAGCTCTGGGAAAACTGGGCTCTGGCTTCTCCTCCGCCCTCTCTCACCCTCCGCGTCGCCCGTGGTCCTTGCCCTCCTCCACCGACTCTTCGTGATTCCCTGCCGCCTTCTCGCGGCTCGGAGCTCTGGGAAAACTGGGCTCTGGCATCTCCTCCGCCCTCTCTCACCCTCCGCGTCGCCCGTGGTCCTTGCCCTCCTCCACCGACTCTTCGTGATTCCCTGCCGCCTTCTCGCGGCTCGGAGCTCTGGGAAAACTGGGCTCTGGCATCTCCTCCGCCCTCTCTCACCCTCCGCGTCGCCCGTGGTCCTTGCCCTCCTCCACCGACTCTTCGTGATTCCCTGCCGCCTTCTCGCGGCTCGGAGCTCTGGGAAAACTGGGCTCTGGCGAGGCGACAAGCACAGACTCGGGAGGACCTCAGCACGCAGCGGTGAGGAGGCAGGCGGAGAGAACGCGGAAAGGAAGGTAACCCACCGGGGCGGAAAGTATACGTTCCTTCACGCTCCCTCGTCCTCCTCTCCCTCCTCTCCTCCTCCTCCTCATCCTCCTCCTCCTCCTCCCTCCTCCTCTCCTCATCCTCCTCCTCATCCTCCTCCTCATCCTCCTCCTCCTCGGGGGCGCGCAAACATGGACTAGCGATCCATGGATTTGGCGCGCGGTCGTCGCCAAATCCATGGATCGGGGGCGGTGCCCTCCCCGAAATGCGGCTGGTGCCGCCTCTGTCGGCGGCAGAAATCCGCGAGTTCCCATAGAAACGGGACCCGTCGCTAATCTACGCCCCCTTGATCCATGTTTGCGATCGCCTGATGATGCTCCTCTAGCCTTCCCACTCGTCCTCCTCCTCCTCCTCCTCCTCCTCCCTCCTCCTCCTCCTCCTCCTCCTCCTCCTCCTCCTCCTCCTCCTCCTCCTCCTCCTCCTCCTCCTCCTCCTCCTCCTCCTCCTCCTCCCCCTCTCCAACCCCCCTCCCTCATTCTCCCTCCCTCCTCCTCCCTCCCTCGCTGCCCGCGGCCACGCCCCCCCCCCCCCCCCCCGCGAGGCACCTCCGGCCTCGTCGGCGGCGCGCCAGTCGCCGTTGCGCAGGCCGCGCAGGAGGGACTCCCGCGTGCGGCCGCGCGCCTTCGCGGACGAGGGGAGGGGGGGCGGGCCAGGCGCCCAGGCCTCCCACCTCGGGCCGCGGAGGTGAGCGCACCACGATGTCGGCGTGGGGCCACGTTCGGCCTGCAGCGCCCCCCCGAGCTATCGTGGCCATGGGGGAACAACAAGTGGCATGAACACATAAAAGCTCCGAGGTCCGCGCGGATTTCTCGGATCGGCGCTGGGGCCCCCCGGCGGCGCCTCCGGCGCCGCCCCTGGCGCGCTCCGCGCGCCAGGGAAAGGGGGTCCAGCGCCGATCCGAGAAATCCGCGCGGACCTCCGAGTCTTTGTGTTTATGCCATTTTTCGCTCCCCTATCACCTCCCCGACCACGCTCGGCCTCACCACCTGGCGTGGCGGCACGCCAAGAGGAGCAGGGGTGAGAGGCGGCGGCCCTCTGAGAAGCCCCCCGCCCCGCCTCCGAAGGTGCGGGGGACCGTTCGAGCAGGGCACCAACCCCTTCTGACAAAGAGAGGTCCCTCTGCAGGCGCTTGAAATCTGTAGATTTCTCGAGCCGCCCGTCCCACCTCTTCCCCTCCCCCCGTGGTAGCGGTCGGTGGTCGTTTGCATACTTCCCACAAGACTGTCGCACCAGCGCGAGAGGTTTATATTGAATGGCCGGCCCGCGCGCCCACTTTGACGTCCCACCCGTCGTCTTCATCGTTTCCAATGCGCTCCCCTGCCTGGATTGCCCAAGCCTTGCCCCATCAAGGCGAAATGGACATTCAATGTCCCGCCCGCCTGCCCGCCCCCCTCGAAGTCCCGCCCGTTGTTGTCGTCCTCGGCTCCCTTATGCGTTGTTCCGGCTGATCCCCCCCGACCTTTGTCCAATCAACTAACAACACTTACACCGAACTCACTACCCGTCCGCCCATCGTGGCCTTCCCGCGCGCCATCGCTCACGCTTCCCTTGAGTTCTCCCCGACAGCGCTTTGCACTCAGGCGTTCTTACCCGGATTCTCGACGCCGTGACTCAGACGCGCCGGGCTTCCGCCTGGCGCCTCGTTTGTGGGCGCCCTGGCGCATCGTATAAAACAGGGCTAGGATCGGGATAAACTGCTCCAGAGCGTCCCGGAGCGCTCTCAGAGCGTTCCGGAACGCTCTGGAGCGGCCGCGGCGCCCCACACATCCTCCAGACCCGCCGATTCTCCGAGATTTCGAGTTCTCCCGATCCGCTTTTGTCCTGATCTTCGCGTCGCGTGATCCTAGACGCCTCGTGCAGGGCGGGTGCGCACGGGCTCCGCCCGGCGCCCGGCCGCGGAGCGCCTCGAGCGCCGCGCGGGCGTGCCGAGGGTTTCCCGCCCGGTGCCAGCCCGCCCGCGCGCGCCTCGCGCGCCCGGGCGGGAGGCGGCGGAGGCCGCGCCGAGGCGCCCGCCCGTGGGGGCGCCACTCGGGCGCGGCGCGGGCGTGCCGCGGGCTCGCCCACGGTGCCCGCGCGTGGGAGGCCGCGCCCAGCGCCCGCCCCTGGCCATCGCTCGTACGGCCATTCCCTGTGGTTTTTGTTCGGTTTCGTGCGTGGCTTTGTTCGCCAAGTTATCCAGGATGTTCCTCGATGGTCCTCGCCGAGGAAAAAAACGCACACGTCCGAGCGATGCCAAGGCCCAAGGGTGCCTTGGGGCCACCCGGGGGCGCCCCGCGCGCAGGGGCGGGTGTGCCGAGAGGTTCGCGCGGTGCCAGCACGTGGGAGGCCTCGTCTCGTGCGCGCCCTGTGTGGTGGGCGGCCTCAGATGCCGCACCGCAGAGCTTTCGCAGCACGGCCTGCACCACAGATCTTACACCAAACACAGCGAGTACCACGTAACTTCACCACACGGCCCGCGCCGCACACCCTACAACACAGAGCTTGCAGCTTGCATCATCAGAACTGCACGGCATAGCTTATGGCACATAGCTTGCACCACATAGCTTTCACCGCATAGCTCACACCACGTACATCGAACCAGGTGGCTTGCCCCACGCGGCTTGCACCACGCACGTCGTGGCACCTGGCTTACACATTCACGGTGCAATAACTTTCTGTTTTGTGCCCGTGCTAGTAAGCAGGTTTCCCCGACCTCGTCTCACCCACGCGTAATATGTTTATTCACCCCCTTGCCTCGCGCGCTGCATGGTGCAGTGCAGTGCGGTTAGAGCCCAGAGGGGTCGAGCCGTCTCCATTTGCGAGGGGGGTGGAGGTGGGGCAGGGGGGTTCTCGCCAAAGAATAAGCGGAGGGGGTTCCCGAACGGGGTAAAGCAGTTCCAGGAAGGGGAGACTTTGCCAAGCCAAGCGCCACTGAAAGACGCCCTCTCCGTCCTCCTGTGAGACCCCTGCCTTGCTAGAGTGCCCCCCTTCCCCCCACCCATGGCCCCACCACCATCACCCATCAGCGCCCGAGCAAGATCAATGATGCATGGGCCCTCCTGGACTTCTGCCCGTAGCGAGAAGGGGCTCGCCGGGGTCGGAGCCATGGCGGGCTGCGCCGTGGCGCCTGGCGCCTGGCGCTGTCGGGGAAGCCCCTCCTGGACGCCCTCACAAGCGGTTCGACCTACCGCCGATTGCAAGCCAGCCCGCCTGATGAGAGCGAGGAGTCTGCCCAACCCGCCAGCGTGCGCCCTCTCGGCTCGCCCGACACGACGGCCGCCCGCCCAGCCCGCCCCCTCCGCCGGTGCAGGACCCCGCCCGCCCAGACGCAGGCCGCTGGGGCGCACCCGCCTGCTCGCTCGAGGGCCGCCCCCGCCTGCTGCAGCAGACCGCCAGCCCGACCCTGCAGCGTCCGCCCTCTCGGCCCGCCCGAGGTGCGCCCCAGACTATTTTGGGACTATGTTGGAGTATACCTCCTCCTCCTCCTCCTCCTCCTCCTCCTCCTCCTCCTCCTCCTCCTCCTCCCCCTCCTCAACCTCCTCCTCCTCCTCCTCCCCCTTCCCCTCCTCCTCCTCTCCTCCTCCTCCTCCTCCTCCTCCTCCTCCTCCTCCTCGTCCTCCTCCCCCTCCTCCTCCTCCTCCTCCCTAATCAAAAAATCTTCCGCCCGACCCGTCCGTTCGGGCCCACGCGGCCGACCCACCCTGTCTTTGGGGGTCCGTTCGCCCAAAGGTCCGCCCGCTCGCTCGCCTGAAAGCCCGCCGGAAGAAAAGGTCGCCAGTCGCAAGAAGTGCGTGGAAGAATGAAGTAGGAAGGCGGATACAAGAAGCCTCCAAGACGTCCCAGGCCCCCTCCAAGAGACCCCGAGGAAGCCCCAAGAGGCCCCCACGAGGCTTCCAAGCGGCCCCTAAGAGGCTCACAAACTACCCCCAAGAGGCCCCCAAGAGCGCCCGTCGTCGTGTCGTCGTCGTCGTCGTCGTCGTCGTCGTCGTCGTCGTCGTCGTCGTCGTCGTCGTCGTCGTCGTCGTCGTCGTCGTCGCCATTCAGGGTCGGCGGCACCGGCCGTAAGGCCTTCGCAATAATGAAGTAGGAGGGCGGATCAAGTAGAGTGGGTTCGGGCCCGCCCAACGAAAAACAAAACCTGGCACAAACGTATCGGCCCTTGAAGTAGGAGCGGAATAATGAAGTAGGAAGGCGGATAAAGTAGATTGGGTTCGGGCCAGCCCAACGAAAAAAACAAGAACTGGCACAAACGCATCGGCCCTTGAAGTCGGAAGGCGCTTGGAATAGACTGGGACCTGGGAGTCCAAATAACATGCTTTAAACGAGCGGCGTGTAACCAAAACTCGGCGGCGAGCGAGGCTTCTCAGAAGGCGGCGGCGGCGGCGGCGGGGCTTCTCAGAAGGCCTCCGACCTCCGGAGAGGCTGTCTCTGCGCCTTCGGGGAAGGCTGCGAAAACTTCTCAGAAGGCCAGGGGACTTCCGAGCCTTCTGAGAAGGCCCGCCCCTGCTAAAATCCCCCCCGTCGCTCGCCGCCGACTCGAGGGGGGGGGCGGAAGGGGGGCGAGGAGAGCAAAGGGCCTGGGCAGGCGAAGGCAGAGACGGATGAAAACGTTCGCAGTGCGCCTCCCCCAGTGTGTCTCCTCCTCCCCCTCCTCCTCCTCCTCCTCCTCCTCCTCCTCCTCCTCCTCCGCCTCCGCCTCTTCCTCCTCCTCAGTTCCCCCACGGGCGCGCCGCCGAAACGCGACGAGACCTCAGGACCGTGAGGACGAGGCGAGGAGCCGAGGCACGGGGAGCCCCGGGACGAGCTGGGGGCACCGCGCGGCCTCTGTACACCGGGGCGCGCGTCGGCACGGGGCGCAGGAGCCACGCCAGAGCGAGAGGACATGTGACGACGGGACGCGCCCGGGTGAGGAGGAGGAGGAGGAGGAGGAGGAGGAGGAGGAGGAGGAGGAGGAGTCGGAGTCGGAGGAGGAGGAGGAGTAGGCTCGTTTGGCTGGTCTCGGCGGGGATGCCGGGTCCTCGTCCGCCTCCTCCCCTGCCGCCCTTGCTCGTGCACGGTCGGGTCGGATTTCGGTGCGCCGTCTTCGCCCTTCTCTCCCCTTTGAGCACGGGGTTCGAACCTGTGTGCCCTCAGTCGAGTGAGTGAGTCAGTGAGTGAATGAGTGAGTGAGTGCGTGAGAGTGGGTAAGTGAGTGAGTGAGTGAGTGAGTGAGTGAGTGAGTGAGTGAGTGAGTGGTGGGTGGGGTGGTGGGTGGGTGGGTGGTGGTGGGTGGGTGAGGGAGGAGGAGGAGGAGGAGGAGGAGGAAAGGCCCGCCGCTCGTCCCACCTCCCCTCTCTCCTCGATGGCTTCAGGAAGGGTATCTGAATGCGGGCGGCCTCCTCTCCCCTCCGCCCCCTCTCCGGAGCCGTGTGGGCCCCCCCTGACACGAACCGCAGGCGGCCGCGCAGGGGGCGCCGGGCAAGGCTGCCGAGGGAGACGCGCGCTCACGAGGCGAGGGCGAGGAGGAGGAAGAGCCTCCTCCCTCCTCCCTCCTCCCTCCTCCTCCCTCCTCCTCCTCCTCCTCCTCCCTCCTCCCTCCTCCCTCCTCCCTCCTCCTCCTCCTCCTCCTCTCCCTCCTCCTCCTCCTCCTCCTCCTCCTCCTC